GAGGGTCTTGGGGGACACCCAGGGGTCCTGGGTCCACATTTTAAGAAACACTGTAACAGATAATATTAAAGCTGCTGCAAATCCCATATTTTGATAATGGGAGAAAACTCCTAATTTAATTTAATTTTCTTCCTAATTTAGTTGAGCCTGGGGTGTAAACTGCCATCCTATTTCAAATATATTAATTGTAGTATGTCTTCCTCTTCTTGGGGCATGCATCTTCTTCAAGGAACAAATATGTTTTTTTTAAAAAGGAAAAATAATTCCCCACAATGAACCCAACTCCTGAGGATTTCATGGACGCAACCATGTAGCTTTCTTGGCAATAGATAGAAATAGTTTACTATCAATTCTTTCTGCTTTACCTTCCAAGCCCAGACAGGCTCTGCCATTAGGCAACTCCATAGGATACTTGTGCAGACATGAAGGGTGTCCACATGGTCCAAAAAGTCAATATGGCAGCTACAACAGTCCCATCAAAGCTCTGCCCATTTTTATGTGCATCACTCACACAACCCATATAAAAAAACAGGTGGAGCTTTGATGGCACTGTCATGGTCGGCATCCTAATCTTTTTGACCACATCCTGCAGACATGGAACATCTACTTGTATTGCCTCCCTAATTACAGACTTTATATTCTCCAAACAAGTCCTTTGAATCTCACAATAATAGTTATGAGTTTGTATCAGGTTTGGCCAAATCCTGAAGCACATCAATCTCTTTTGCCACCCACTCATCAAATCAAAGTGGAACTCTTCCCTAGGTTCTGCACCTATCCTGAAATTAAGCAGGCTTAATTTGGTAACAGTATGCTAAGACAGATAACATTTTTATAGAAATTACAAAACAAAACTAAAGCATGAGGTAGGGGTAGGTGAAATTGGTCTACGTTCTAAACCAGAAGACTTCCTTCTGACTCTAAAAATTACACCTATGTTCAATTCTGCAAGTTTATTAGATACAGTAGATAGTTTTTCAGCTGTAAGCCATTCTCATAATTTCCCATAAACATAGCATGTTATGGGGAAAATTTCAAAATGAAAAGGTGACTCTTGCACATTTCCTGTGATAGTTGATTGCAGAACAAACAATGTACTTAGCAAATTTCAGTTTTGTTATGAAATTAAAAAAAAGTATTGGCAATTGTTCTTGCCTGCCCCTTCTTCCCTCCCTCAAAATGTAAAGGCACCTTACACCTATTGTCTGAAACAGCAAACTTTTATTTCTGAGCATTTCAGCCAGCTCTGTCCCACAAAGTTAAGAGACAAGAGCAATGGAGATTCAGATGACTGAATTTGGATTTAGGACCTGAATTGAGTGAATGTGTGTAAGACAGGAAAAAAAAAACAGGTGAGTGAAGAAGCTACGCCCTGAACTGGGAAATTTTAGTTCTTTTGCTATCTGCTTTGATTGTCTATTAAAGATACTCTTCCTAAGTATCAGTATCATTTGGACCCCTTTTGAATGTAATGTATAATTTAGTAGTGGATCTCTTTGCACCATTCCTCCATCTCAAAAATACTTCTAGCAGCCCTGATCACTGAACCACGCAGAGGCAGTTTATTTGCTCCAAGAAGACTGTCAGAAAGGAGCATTAGTGTTCTGGTTATCAAATTTTTTTTTATTTGTGAAAATGTGGGCCCAGTGGTTGTTTTATTTTTTTTTTACATGCATCCCACATTGCACAGCAGCAGTCACCATCTCGACTTTTTTGACCTTCTCTTCCAATGCCCCTGCAGGGGTGTTACCTAGCTGATTTGGTCCAGTTTGTGAGAACATTTGTTAAATTGTTGCAGGCTTTTCAACATAACTTGAAGTGTATAGTTCTTTATGGTGAAAACATCTGCCAAAATTTGTATTTATGAAATATAACTATTTACAGGATTGTCCACAGGGAGTGTGTGTGTGTGTTTAAGAAACTCCAAGATGCTTGGATTGGGATGCTGAGGCCACCATCTTGCAGATTTTGACATACGCACACACATAAACCACTGCTTATTTAGCTCAGTAGAACTATGAGCATAATACTGTATTACATTTATATGATTCTCAGCAGAGTGTGGCCAATCAATTTAGGATTGCAATTGATGCCTGTTAACTAACAAAGTCTTTAAAATTGTTTTAATTAGAGGCAGTCCTCACCTATGGATCGCTCATTCAGTGACCATTAGAAGTTATGATGGTGCTGAAAAAGCAGACTTATGAATCCTTGAAGTTGCAGCCATCACAGTGTCCCCATGGTCATGTGATCATGATTCAGGTGCCTGGCAACTGGTGCACATTTATGATGGTCACACTGCTCCATGATCAAGTGATCAACATTTGCGATCTCCACAGCTGGCTTCCAACAAGCTAAGTCAATGGGGAAGCCAGCAGGAAACCGCAAGTCATGACTGTGACATTGCATTTAACAACTGGGTGATTTGCTTAACGACTGCAGCCGGTACTGATTTCATAAGTCAGTGTGGTCACATGACATTTCACTTTATGACCTTTTGCTTAGCGATGGAGTTGCCGGTCCTAACTGCAGTCGGTAAGTGAGGCCTATCTATACTTAACTGTGTACCTTCATCTCAGCAATATTAAAAAAGGAGGGGGCAAAAAATTAAATACTGTAAGGAAAAACATTATCTAAGAATACTTTCCCCGTTCACACTCAAGAGGGACCTCAAGCTATTTGTATGTAACTTTCATTCTCTCAGTAAACCAGCTAGGAACAAATTTTATAGCCCTTTATTGTCAAGAAATGCCATTCAACTCAAGGGAAATTCTTTAAATGGAAGATTTTTTTCCCCTGTGAGTCTTACATTCCCAAAGCACTGCATTCTCAAGCAATTCAATTTAACTTTAGATAAATTATATTACAGGTATTTAATGCAGGTCCCTGAATGTATGATATAAGGCAATAAGAAAAATCAGTGCTATTTGAAATTTTAGTAGTTTGTAGGACCACAACATTTGAGAATTCCTGTCTTTATGGCCTTAGAATTGACAGTGAAAATAGTGAAGTGGTAGATAGCTGCTGCCTTTTAGGATCAACTATCATGTTAAGAAACAAGCAGTCAAGAAATATGCTGCAGACTAGCACTTGGTAGAGCAGCTATGAAGATCTTGGAAAAGACATTCGGATGTCCTGATGTGTCTACTATAAAGATCTGAATCATGTGGGGAATTATTTTCTCTGTGACACTCTATGGAAAGTTGGACTTTGAAGAAGCAGGATAAGAAGAGTATTGATGCTTTTGAACTTTTGTGCTGGAGAAGAGTCCTGAAAATACCATGGACAGCCAAGAAAACAAACAAATTAATCACTGAACAAATCTATCCAGAGTTCCCACTCAAGGCATAGATGACCAGGTTCAAATTATTCTACTTTGGACACCCTGTGTGAAGACCTAGTTCTCTGGAGAAGGATTTAATGCTGGGAAAGGAGGAAGGAAAGCGAAGAGGATGACCAAAAGCAAAGTGGATAGACTCAGTTACAGTAGCGAAGTGGCGATGGAGGCACTGGTGGAAGACCAGAAGGACCAGTTTGGGGGCAGATAGTAATGGAGAAAATGTATCTATGCGGTTGCTAAGAATTGACACCTGACTGGATGGCACATAATCAATCTTTACTGGCAATATTGTGACTGGTTTTTATTTTTGCTGAAATAGTAGAGTTTTTTTTAAAGATGTATTAACTACTTGGACATTTCTTATTGGAATGCCTAATATGATGGTTTATTGTTGGAACTGGTTGTTGCCTAATTTGGAGAATACTCCTGACTTGTTCATAAAACAGGCTGTTTATTGATAGAATAGCAGTGAATAGAATCGAAAAATAAAAAGAGCAGAGTGCTCTTCCTTCTCAAAGATGGGTATCTTCTTTTAAATAGTTTGCTGCAATTCTCATTGGGCAATAACTTTTGTGAACGAATTGGGATTCTCCTTTTGTGTGATGAACTCCTACAGTTTCAGTCTTAATGAAGTAAATGAGTTTCTTACTGGAAATCTAGTCAAATCATTTTATTTTTTTTCCCATAGGTTTTTTTTTAATTTAAGTAGAACAGATATGTGTTGAGATTAGTTCATAGACGAGTTTACAGACTGGTGAAGCAATGAGAGAAATCTTTTCATCAGTTTTCAGTATCTATATAATCTACTCTACTGTTTTATTTAAGAAAGCGTTTCATCAGTTGGTAAGTATCCAGTTGTGAACAGACAATGTATTGCAAGCACTTCACACCCAAGAGTTCTGTTAAATTGCAAAGAGAGAAAGGTGTTCCACATAATGGAGATGTAGCCTTGGCATATGCACGGTCATTTCAATGTTTCTGTATTACACTGTCAACTCCTTGGGTAACCTTCTGTGTTTTGTGGATCTGTTGTGTGAGTGTGTGCTGATTGTGGAGTTAC